TAATCCTGCTGATCCATGAGCATGGTGGATCTTTCATCTTCTGATACCTTTTCCAATTTCTTTCTTCAAAGATTTGAAGTTCTTGTTGCACAGGTCTTTCACTTGGTTAGAGTTACCCCAAGATATTTGAGATTATTGTAAAGGATGTTGATTCTCTGATTTCATTCTCAGCTTGTTTATCATTTGTATATAGGAGGGCTACTGATTTTTTTTTTAGTTAATCTTATATCTAGCCACTTCACTAAAGGTGTTTATTAGCTGTAAGAGTTCCCTGGTAGTTTGGGGGGTTGCTTATGTATATTATCATATCATCTGCAAATAATGATACTTTTGACTTTGGAGAAGGAGCTGAGGATTCTACATCCTGATCTACCGGCAACAGGAAGTGAACTGTGTGTCACACTGTGCATAGCTTGAGCATAGGAGACCTCAAAACCCACCCCCACAGTGACACACTTCCTTCAACAAAGCCACACCTACTCCAACAAAGCCATATCTTCTAATAGTTGGCTGGTACTATTTTGGGACTTGTAACCTGTCATTCTATCCCCTTCTTGTCTGTTAAGAGTTTCTGCTGAAAAATCTGCTAGACTCTGATGGAGTTGCACTTAAGTGTGACTTGGGACTTTTCTCCTGCAGATTTTAAATTTTGAACTGTAATTAACAAGTTTTATAACAGTGTGCTGTGGAGGAGCTCATTTCTGGCTGTTTGTAGTTGGGATTACATTTACATAAGCCTCCTGATTTTGGGTGCCTGTGTCATTCTCAAGAACAGAGAATTTTCTGCTATCATTTCATTAAATATGGTTGCTGTTTAACTATTTTGTTTTATTTCTTAAGACAGGTTTGCTGTGTAAACCTCAAACTCATGATCTTCAGTTTCTCAAGTACAGAGATTACAGGTGTGTACCACCATGCCCAACATCATTAATAGGTTTGCTATGTGCTTAATCTCTTCTTTTGAGTATACTAATTATATATATGTTTAATCTTTAATAGTGTGCCAAAGACCATGAATTCTCTTTTCATTCTTTGTTTCTACTTTTTTCTTTTTCTGAAGCAGGGTCTTACTATGTACCCCTGGCTGACATGTAACTCACTTATGTAGACCATGCTGACTTCAAACTCACAGAGATCCATCTGCCTTTGGCTTCTGAGTGCTGGGATTAAAGGTTGTGCCACTGTGGCCAGCTGTTTCTACTATTTTTAATTAGTTTTTCAAATGAGCATACAAAGCATTGGGTTTTATTCTGGTATTTTCATATTTGCTTTTTTGGTTTTTGATGGTGGTGGTTTTTTGTTGTTTTGTTTTGCTTTGTTTGAGACAGGGTCTCTTTATGTAGACTTGGCTGTCCTGGAACCATGTAGACCAGGCTGGCCTTGAATTCACAGAGATCCACCTGCCTCTGGCCTCCCAAGTGCTGAGATTAAAGGCATGTGCCATTGTGCCTGACTTTACTTTGTTCTTATCTACATTTTTGTGGCCTTTTTTCTGAATGGAATATTTTAAAACAACTGTCTTCCATGTAGATATTTTGTTTCATTATTTTTTGAGATTTTAAGTTGAATCTTTCATTTGTTCTTTTGAGACTTTCCTTTCCAAAGTTTCTATTTGGTTCTTTTTCACAATTTCTTTGCAGAATCTCTCATTCATATCCAAGATGTATTCCTGATCCCATCTAACCTTTCATCTGAATTCTTTTGGATCACATTTTTTTATCAAGCATTCTCCTGAATTATTTGTCAGACCTTTCATCCATTTCAGTTTCTTTGGAATTTGTTGCTAGAGAATGATTTTTAGAAATTTTTTAGTATGATTTGGGTTTCTGCATTTAGATTTGTATGTATGTCTCATGGTTCTTTCAACTGCTTTTACAGTGTGGCCATAGTAAGTGACAATCTCCTAAAGATGTGCGGGTATCAGTTTGTTTTAAATTGTTAGCTTTTTTTCCAGATGGACAGGCACCAAAGTATAGTCTCCTGTAATTTCTTTTAAAAAAAAGGATTTACCTTAGTTCTTTACTTTATGTATATGAGTGTTTTGTCTACATGTGTATGCCTGGTGCCAAAGTAGGTCATTTTGGTGTCGAATCCTCTGGAACTGAACTTACAGACTGTTATGAGCCTCCTTTTGAGTGCCAGAAATGGAACCCAGGTCCTCTGCAAGAACAGTAAATGCTCTTGACTGCTGAGCCGTCTCTCCAGCCCTTCCCTGTAGTTTCTCCAGGTGTGATTAGTGGATGTGAACAGGATGTGCACTGTTTGGGCTCTGTGGTCCACATGAACACACCAGCAGTCAGGCAGAGTGATGTGGGATAAACTTCTAAAATCTACATCAGGTGGTAGTGGCATCCTTTGGTGGTGTTGATGTTGGCTGTATTACTGGTAAGGGTCTTTGGCACTGCCTGCACCAAGTAGTAAGGGGCCTAAAGTACTTACAGTGGTCACACACAATCCTGAGAACAGTCCACGGTCATTAGAGCATAAGGGGCCAGTAGAGGTAGGAACTGTAAAGCAGCAAGAATTGCAGTGTTCTTTGCTGCTACTGTAGAAGGAGCTGTACCCCTGCCCCTGCCCCTGCCACACCATGAACCAGGATATGAACCATTGACTAGGGCTTTTCTCCTTAAGAATCTTTGAAATGAAGTACCTCCACATGTGAGCTTATGTCACAGTCACTCCCAAGGAAACTTCCTCTCTGGACCATATAGTCTAAGACAGGGCAGCAGCACAGAGCTAGGGCATTGTTTCCAGCTACCTTAGCATGCCCTTGTGAATGGGCATCTGTGGAAGCAAAACTTCCCTCTCCTTGTTTCTGACACCCATGTACTGAACTGAAAGGAGTGGTTAGACCAGCACGAGTGACTGACAGGTGTGAATTTACATGGTTTCTCCCATTTCTCATCTCAGAGTGCAAGTCTGTTTATCTCGCTATCCTTTTCTTTTTTTCTTTATAGAGGTGTTTCTTTAGCTCACAGTTCTAGAGGTTCAGGGACAGCACCAATACTGACTGGGGCTTTTATAAAGGCATCATGATGACAAGAGCACATAGAAGCCAGAGAAGGTCTCTCTCTCTCTTGAGACAAGGTTTCTCTGTGTAGCCCTGGCTGTCCTGGAACTCATTCTGTAGATCAAGCTGTCCTAGAACTCAGAGATCTATCTGCCTCTGCCTCCCAAATGCTGGGATCAAAGGCGTGCAAGACCACCTCCCAACAGGATCTCTCCTTTGATCCTTCCCTTCTCCTGTATTTTGCATCACCCATCCCTACAGTATAGGGTGCTCAATGGATTTTCGTCACAGTCACTTTGTTGAGCCAAGTTTGGTTCTCAACTAGGATACTAAGTACTGAGCTAGTGCCATCGAATATGTGTGTGTTACATCCCAGAAATTGTATATGCAGGGGTTTCTGATATTCCTTTTCAAGATGGCTCCTCACTACAGTTCATGTAGGCTTGCTGAAGAATGACATGAAATCCTTTTCCAAAGCAAAGCTACTAAGTAGATTTCAGGCTTATCCAGTTACACAATCCTACAGGGGTTGCAAAACTTTGCAGTAGTCATTAATGTAAGCAGCCTTGCTGGTGGTTCACTGGAACTATTTTTTTTCCTCCCTTAACCCACCAGAGGGGCAGTAGATGCCTGGATGGTTCTCTTAATATACTATTGTCCCAAGATCCTGAATCTTACAAGGTTCCAGGTACTAGTCTGTTGATTACAGTGATCCTCCATTATCACTCATCTCAAAATGCAGCAATATTTTGTTGCTTTTGTTTTTCTTTACAGTAGAGCTGATGAGTGTTGAGTGCTCCTAATCAGCTATTGCATTCAATCCAAGTCATGCATCTGTCATATGAATGTTACAAGACAGAAGGTGAGAGCCAAGTATTGGAGATGTGTAGTCGGAAGGTTTCTCCAGTCTCGCCCGGCCCCAAGGTCCAACAGCCACTAGTACTTGGGGATGTCTTTCTGTATGCTGTGAATATATGTTGCTATGATTGGTTAATAAAGAAGCTGCTCTGGCCTATGGCAAATCAGGTTATAACCAGGCAGGAAATCCAAGATAGAGAGAGGAAGAAGAAAGAGTGGGGAGAGATGCTGCTAGCCACCGCCAGGAGAAGCAAGATGTGAAAGTACAGGTAAGCCATGAAGCCACGTGGCAACTTATAGATAAATATAAATGGGTTAAGTTATAAGAGTTAGCTAGCGAGAAGCTTAAGCCATAGGCCATATAGTTTTTAAATAATATTAAGCCTCTTAATTATTTTTATAAGCGGTTGTGGGACCTCAGTGATGGGCAGGATAGGAGAAACCTTCCGGCTACAGAGATAAAATGAAGTTTGAGAAAAAGTACGTATCTTTGACTCTTGCTATAGTAGTGGTAAGGGGCAGGGCCAGGTTTGCCTTGTACTACATGCTCAATAAATGGTAAATATATAAATGAATGGATGGATGCCTCACTAGTAATTAATAAGTGCTCCCATTTTTAATTGTGTAGCAAACATCTTAAGTGAGATCTCTTCAGAACTATGTAATGTATTTAGCTAGAAGGAAACATAGAGATACCCTTACTTTGAAATTGAAAAATTAAAGGTTGAAAAACATGATTACACTAATGTTGTACTGAGACAAGAATACAGTTAATACTCCTGGTTACCAGTGTATTACCCCATCTAATGCATCATAGGATAAAGCAACTTTCTCATCATTATCAGTAACTAACATGGATGATTTTCACATCCTGAATATGACAGCATAGTCTCATTTAGTGTTATAACCTAAAGAAGCTTTTAAGGTGATTTATTATAGGCTCTATCATACAGGAGAAAATACACAAAATGTTCAATGACTTGTCAAAGGTCTGCTAGCTAGAAAATCAACACTCAAACTCAGAGGATCTGGAGCCCCACATGCAGGGCACATTTCACATTAGACTGAAGGATATGAGTGTACTTGAAGCTCATTTGGTTTTGACATAGTGACATGGCATACAACTCTCCAATTGGGGGCAACAGGAAATGTTTATTTATGTACAAGTACATGGGAAATCAATTTCCATTCAGCTTTTTAAAAAATTATTACAAATAAAAAGATTTTGTTAAATACATTCATTCTTTACACACAAAATACATCCTTTACACTTTTACTCTCATTATGAATTACCTCTTAATGATAAAACTTAAACTACAACAGTCAGTAGGTTTGGCGATTTGATGATCTTTTTTCCAAGGAGGAAGATCCAAATGTTGAGACAGTTGATAAATAAGAAACCAATGCTCCTTCATTGACTGAATGATCCTACCAGGTTTAATGAATGCCTTCTCCAGTATGATTGGTAGCTGTCTTTAAAGGAATGCTGAGCACTTCGAAATTCTCAGTGATGACAATGTAATTTCTACAAAGACTAAAGAACTCCTTATAAAATTGGTAGCCATATCAAAATGACATCCTCACAGAAAGATTCTCACAAATAAACCTGACAGCTAGGCATTATTCAGGGGTCCTGTTGATCAATTTAACCAAGATCATAAGTTTCATTCTCCAAGCAGGACTTTAAGATGTTCTAGTTAAATAAATACAAATTGCTTGATTTGTTAGTCTAATTGTTTTTGAGATGTGTAAGAAACCATATGACCATGTGCAAAAATTACATAAATGTTCTAGCAGCATTACTTATGCTAACCAGAAAGTAGAAACAATCTAAATATCCAAAATGTGATTAATTCACAAATAAAATAATACACACACTCACACACAATGCACATACACACATACATATATACACATACACACAATGGAATATTACTTAGCCTTAAAAAGAATGTTCTGACTCATGCTACAACACAGATGAGCCTTGAAAACCTTAACAGAAGCCAGACACAAGAGGCCACACATTGTATGGTTATATTATATGAAAAGCAAATCCATAGAGACAGAAAACAGATGGACCATTGCCAGATGCAGGGGAAGAAGGAAGTTTGGCTGCTAATGGATACAGAGTCTTTTGGGAATGACATATTCTGAAGTTAGAGAGTAGTGAAATGTACAATATAATGAGTATACTAAAAACACTGCATTTTATACTTCAAAGGGGTGAGTTACTGTGTGTGGATTGTGTGAATGTTTAAAAGACATAATTTAACTTTAAAATATTTTCTTTGGGTTCCTGGTTCTTCTTTGTCCCCTTTTTGAAATTGGATTGAATTTTTTTTTTTTTATAAATCTTCTTTCTACACAATGTATTTAACTAATTGTACTTGGGTTACCAGTGGCTTATATTTCTAATGGCCTTTTTGTTAAGTAAAAATAATACATGGACACAAAATATATATTGTACTGTTAATATCTGCATATTGACATTTAAAACCAAGAACTATGCTTATATTAAAGTAGATTATTAGGATTTATATAGTGATATATATGTGGAGTTTACTGAGATCTTATGCATAAAACCAGTAGCCATATAGTAGGAATTGAGTTCATAAAATTCACTGGTCAACCTGTTTGCTGAAACTGTATACGTAAAATATCTGTGTTTTAATGGAGAGATTAAGAAAATGAAGAAAATCAAGGATTTTCTAAGTCTTCACAAAGCAGCTTCTGTAAATATTTTAACTAGCTGCTGAGATCTCCAGAATTAAATATTTTGCATTTTATTTCATCCCTATGCTAAAAGTCATGCAATAAACTGTGTGCAATAATATACAGGGCATACTTTTTTTTTAATTCTTGTCTTAGTTCTTTATTGAAATTTTTAGCAGAATTTTTTTCTTTTCTGAAAATAGCAATTTTACTCATGCACTAGTTAAGACAGCTTTGTGTGTCTTGTTTACACACCATCAAGGGAGCTCTAACCATCTGGTATGTCTAGACGGACACTCCAATGAGTAGAAGTTAGAAGCCAGCATTCCAATCATTTGAAATGTTTTATGTCAGGGACCTGAAAATCCCAACCAATCCTTAAAGGATAAAATTACTTAAAAAATTCATTTAGTAAATCAACTGACATTCATTGTCAAATAGTCTACAAGAAAGTTCCACTAACATTCTGTAATTGTATAGGACATGAGAATATTTATTCCTAATGATTACATTCCAGAAGCAATATGCTTAGCAGCTGTTTTTCAGAGGGCTTTATCAAGTTTATTATTATTATTATTATTATTATTATTATTTTACTCAGGCATAACTGTGTAATTTTAAACAAAAGCTATGTGCCATTCACCAACTAGTGAATTATTCTAACCAAACAGATTCTTTTCTTACTCTGTATATGAATTTTTGCTCTATTGGGAGATTAGTACCCCAATTTTTATTTCAAAATGTAGCACACACATAGAAAGAAGGATAAAAATATCTTGGAGTATTAGTAATACATTCATCAAGTGATGTCATATGTGGAATTAAATTCTAAAAGCAGATCCTATAACTGGGATTTATGATTCCATTTTTACCTACAGATGGAAAGAAGAGCCACACGACCAGAATTACTCTTTCTTGGTCATTCATTATACATTATTAGTAACAGGAGAAAAGCATGAGTAATTGAAGAGCTAATCAATAGTATCATTATCTAAGTCTGATCCCAGTAAGAAACTAAGAGTCAACAACTACCCTGATGTTCACCAAGAGGATAACAATAACCACCTTAACACGCTTTTATGACCTAGTTTTCAAACACAAACAAGGGCAATAGTAGACAGCAAATGTGACCCCTTAAAGATAACAACCAGGGCATGGTCTTCCCGTGGAGAACAAGACCAAGAAGAGGTTTGCATTGCACTGTGAGGTATTTCAGTTCTAAGAGAGAGTTTCCTGATAAGGAATTTACAACCCTGGAATCGTCCGTTGAGACAGAATGTCTCCCAAGATGTATGGAAAGAAACAAAGTGAATCAGAGATTTCCTTGTAGAAACAGAACTCTTTTCTTTATAACAGACTGCCCCAAACCATTTCTTAAAGTCTAGAAATGGAGTCTCCCTTTGTTACCCTAGCTCCCACCTCGGCTCCCCCAGTACCTGGGACTAAAGTCACACGTCACTGCCTCTACTTCCAAAGTCTAAAGTAGGTAGAAGAAAAACAAAAACAAAAACAAAAAAACTCTAATATTTGAGTTCTTCCTATTTGCTGAGCAACGTATTTTTAATTTATCTCATCTAATTTTCAGCATATTCCTAACAGGTTCATCTCACAGATGAGGAAGCTCCAGTTCCAACTTTGCCCACAGCCTTCCCTAACTTTTATATTGTAGGGCTGCACACAGCTAACCTAATGCCTCACTTTTATGCCTCTCCCTTTACCACCCTCTGGCGTCGCCACTGACCAAGAATTTCATTGGAATATGGCTCAGCATCTGCCATTCTGCTTTAAATCGGAGGAAAAGCAAGAAAAAAATTAAAAATTAACTCATGCACCTGATGAGGCCAAATAAGAACTGGCAACCAGCCTTTGTCTTCAGATTTCCTCTACAAGGAGTCAGAGGAAGTCCCACCCAAATTAAGTATATTTCTCCCCAGACTGATTTAAGCGCAATGGTTTGCTTTTGTAAAGACTAAGGAAGAGCCACCTGTCAGACTGGAAAGGGTATACGCTATTTTAAAAATGGAATTTTATAAATTTTAATTAGCAAAAACTGCTTTAAGTGATTTTATTTTCAAGTTAAAGCCCTGTTTTGTTACTTTGTACATAAAGCCAATTGGCCTTCACCCTTTCAAACTCATTTTCCCCCAAATCAAGAAAACCTATCAAATGTCATTTGAGACTTTCTCAAGTGGATCTTAAGGATGGATTTCTGCCGGTGACCCTCCTATCCTCCTCTCATGGAACACTGGACTACTGGGGGACTCTTTAATGGAGGATCCTCTTACACTAAAACACTTCTAAAATCCTGAAGAGAAGACATTGTGTACTAAGCCAAATGAGATGAATAATTTCCATGATTTCACATAGCCCTGGCCTAAATGATACATACCTCTCCCATGTTTAACTTGGAAGCCAGTTTGATTTCAACAGGGGCTGACAAGGCATTTCTAGTTTAGGACATAATGGCAGATCAGTCTCTTGGCGTAAGGATACATAGTTAACCTTTTCCCTAGACGGTAGTGCATTTATGACAGAAGAAAAAGCCTTTTCTTTTTTAAATGTCATTAGTTGTTGGTCAACATATATTTAGTTGAGCATAAGGAAAGGTACTACAATCTAGAAATTTGAGTTACTAGAGCATCTGGTTCAACCCTCAATCAACAAGGTAGGTCATCTCCACATTTTCTTTACAGTTTATATCTACCCTTTGCTTGACAGAAAGGCAGTCACTACCAGAGGGTTCCAATGTTTTGAGAAATTCTCCCTAACACAGAGCCCAGTCTGCGGCTCTAGGGCTTTATAGTGTGGTGGTCTGCATTCTACCCCTTTGAACTGTGAAGCATCTACTAGTTATATTCCTCTCTATGCCACATCCCACAAAAATCCTTCAAATAATCTTCAACTATCTTAAATGTTAAGTTCATTTACACAGCGAGTTATCCCTCCATTTGTTTTTAATTTCAAAGATCACCAAGATAGCCAGTGTGGCTCACATCTATACTCCCAGTAAGACTGAGGCAATAGAATGTTCAAAGCCAGTCTGAATTACAATGTGATTTCTATGTAGACTAAGATCTGGTCTCAAAATAACAACAACAAAACAAAACAAAAAAGGCAGTGCCTCCCAGGAGTAATTATACCAAGAACATCCTGAGATTTAGGAAGAAGATGAAATGACAGCTACATTATTCAATATTAATGACTGATCTGAAGGGATAATATCAAACCAATATTGCCTGTGTGTACAGTGTAAAGGAAGGCAGTGTTCCTTTCAAACACAAATAAACTTGTGCCACAGGAACAGAAAACCCAGAGGAGAAAATATATCTTTGTTTAGTGTTTAACAGTAATTGCTTAGGTGGAATACATTTTGTCAGAAGGAAAAGATGTGAAACATACCTATCAAGACCATGGCTGAAGGAAGAAAGTAAACCATAGCAGCTAAAAATTCTCAAAACAAAACAAAACAAAAACAAAAAAACGTCCAAACCTACAACTTCTTCCAGAAGCTAATAGGAAAGTGATTCTTACGTATGTATGGCCATGTGCTACAGAGCGTCCTGTAGGATTAAGACTCAGAAACTTTCCCTATCTTTAAGGCCACTGGTATCATACATGGGGTGGGGGTGGGGGTACAAGTTCAAAATGATTCGCAACTGATATTTTTTCAGAATCAGTCTAACCAAAAGTTGATGCTGTGGGATAGCTCAAAGAGTAGACTGGCAAATCCTTGATCTAACACTGGGAGTCAGTCACTCGGTCCTTCCAAGGAATACTTTCATGAAAAGAAGATAAAGAATCTGCTTCCTCCCTCTATCAAGCCTCATTGCCTTGAATCATGCTAGTCCAAACATCCTGTTTTGGTCAGTGGTCTCTTAGTTTCACAAGCAGAACTTGATGGACTGTCATGCTAATACATTTGTTTCATGTTTAGTTATTGTCTTGCCACTTAGGGAAGATGCTGATATCAAAAAGGACTAAAATATGGGTGAGAAATGAAAGCCAGAAAAAGCCAATGATGTCAACTTACAAGTCTACACAAAAGATAATTGGCTCTATATAATTAAATATTAATACAATCCAACAGATCTAATAAAAGAATACAAAGGAACACAGCTTTGTGTAGGAAAAGGAGAAATCACTAAGTCCTTGAGGATACAGTCTATACAAAGCTATATCAGACAATTATATGATTCCATAGATCTTTTCCCAGCATGACTCTAGAACCTGAACATGTGTTTTCATTGGAAGCTACAGAAGATTGCCGTGTATTTAATAATTTTATTTAAAAAAAGAAAAATAACATATCACAAATGGAAAAAGAGATGGTCTCGTCAGGATAAGCCAAACTACATTACAATAAATCAAATCTTGTTTTTTTTTCACCATTAAACAATTTTATGTAAAACTGGCTTATCAGAGCAGATATTGCCCTGCCAATAAGAATTATTAGGCAAAATAATATTTATGTCCTTCCCTAGATTAAGATGACTCTTTCTCAATTACCACTTTAAAGACTTTCGTTTAAAAAAACAAATAAAAAACATCTTGGCAATGAATCATTTATTAAACTGGTATTTATTGCACCTATAATATTGTCAAAGATTGTTCTCAAATTTGAGACACATCACTGGACAAATATCCAAAAGGCCTAATCTGAAAGTCACAGAACTGTGGAACGTAAGGGTCCAGCTTCTCAGGTGTCCACACTAACGGCCCAAGGATTGATGACTGTGATCTCCTGAACGTCTCAGAGACCCAGGGGAAGAGGGACCTGGAGTAGAGCTCCTGAGCTGCTTCTGAACCTGGAGGGCAGATGGGGGTGCTATACGCTTAAGAAATAAGAATAACTGTTACTCTGGAACTAAATTAGTCCATTCTAACAAAGCCCTTAAAGTTCCCAAAGCAACATTATTTTTAACAGTGCTGTGAGACAAGGCTGAGTCATCATATGCCGAGGAGATCAGAAGTTTTTGGTAAAGAAAAGTAAATAAATCTAAATTTAGGGACATTCTCTCACAGTAGAAAGATAAATTCTTCTGTAACCATGATTAGTTTATCTTTAGTTGTTGGCTTAATAGAGAAGTCAAGGTAATGATAAATGATTTTGATTTTCAATTCAAGTGATTTTTCTCCCTGTATAAAGGAAAGGCAGTGCAAACTTTTGGCAAGCCTTTCTCTTTCTTATAGAATCAAGGAAAGCATAGAGAGCAAGTTACAATACCAATGATGGGTAATAATACACGCAGTCCCATGTGAAACAGATTGGACATTATGGAATCTGCTAGATAAATGCTAGAAATGTATTACCAATAGCCTGCTGTGTTGACTCACTGCTTTACAATTCAGTAGCTTCCCAAGAGTGTCGTGTCATGTCCAAGACTGTCACCATCAATACCAACAGCGGAATTACACGTCATATCCTCATTCAGTGATTCATCACTCAGTTATGCTATACAGCAAGCCCAGAAACACCTGACGGCACCAACAGCATACAGATTTAATTGCTGTCGCAATTTGCATTCATGAGCGTGAACAAATTGGAAGGTATCAAATCATGGCACTGAAGAAAACAGGAACCCATTCAGCAGCACATCTTCCAATCTGAGACCTGTTTTGAAATTGGCTAAGTAAAGGCATATATACCTCCATTTGAATTGGAGATTTGCGGTAACACATGCATACCAGGATGGGAAGGAAGAAGAGGGAGTGGAAAAGGAAAGCTCTGAGGTGAGACCAGAGGAAAGAAAAGATAAAGGGAAAAGAATGCATTGTCATGAATCTGAGATCAACATTAATATAAGATGATAAATGACAACTCGGCTTGCTTCCCAAGCAGGCCTTTACTAAGTTTCTTGAAGATACAAAAAGTTTGTGAAACTTTTCATCTGTTGCTATTCTCACTTATCATACTAAAAATGTCTACAAAATCCTAAGCCTTGGTCTAGCCAAGGATAGTTCCAGAAAGGAAAAGGTGCAATTTGTTATGAAGGACTGTGCTCTGTCTGGAACCCTGCTCTGTAGTCAGTCCGTATTCCACAGTATTTTGGTCATATCTGCTCTGTTTTCTCATGCTACTCAAAATGTCTTACAAGTAATCTTTTTTATTTTAATGCCATCATCCATTGTATTTTTCCCCATTTTTTTTCAGACTTTGATTTACTTAAAGGGCAGGAAAGGTGTTTGAAGGAATAGGAGAAAGTTAAGAAATTTCAAGGAGAATATGAAAGAAAAAGGATTCTCATGTCCAAACCCATCCTAGAAAAGGTGGTAATGAGGCTTTGAAAAAGACTGCTGATTCATGGATTTCCCCCATTTTTTTTTTTTTTATTTCTAGGTAATACATCTAAGGGTATCAATATCAATGTAGTAAAACGTTTGGTCTGTGAAATACCATAATCATTAGCACCAAAAGGAGTCATGGAGCTGTATATGTTATCAGACAATAATTTTTACTGTTGGTCATGAGAAGAGTTTTTGTTTTTACATCCCAAAGGTTTTGAAAGTGCTTGTGGACAAAAGAAATAACACTTTTCAAAATCTCCATGGGGTTGTCACTAAGTACCACAGAGACAGAACTGGGCCTTTCCAGTTTTGGTTTACCTGGTAGACAAGAAAACCATGGGCACCAGATTACCACTGAAGCCTAGAGAACAGCCCCACATGCACCCGCTGACACACAGGAGGGATTCCTACAGTACATGATCCCCTGCACTGTGTTCAGGAATGCATTTTTACTTGCTTTTTAAAAAACAAAAGCAACATGCTCTGCAGATCATGGAGCGCTTAGTGCAATTTTCTCCTTGCTCCAATGCCAGACTGCAAAAGGCTGAAACCATTATGTGTTCTGCTAATGCTGGCCTGCAGTCGAGGCCCTTGGCCTGCATGCTTTGTAAGCTCTGGAGCCTACAGGAGTCAGAAGGTCCAAGAGCGGGAGCCATAGTCATTGCCAGATTCCCTAGCAACATACGGCCCACCAAGGCAACTACTGATTCCCTTTGATTCTCTTTGCCTCAGCCTTTAGTTGAAATTACAACAAGTCAAATAGCTGATGCTTTTCCCCTCTCCGGGTAAGGGTGAAGATACATTGTTCACCAGTGTGTTCTGTCTTGCTTCACTGATGAGTCGGCATGCTAAGTCAAGGAAGAGTTTCTCCACATTATCGGATTCCTTGGCTGAAGTCTCCAGGTAATACATGTCCTGAGCCTCTGAGAATTCCTCTGCCCTCTGCTGGGATACCTCTCTCCTTTCAGCCAGGTCAATCTTGTTGCCTGTAACAATGGTAAATTAGAGAAAGAACAGTCACTTGATTTTGTTTAGGCCGGGAAGTATCGAGATTCAATTCCAGAGCTGAAATCAATGGCCAGATTAAACGGATGGACAGGTAAAGCAAAGCAAATGTGGCCATGATCACAGGAATGTTTACCAGTGCCATTTGTAATGACAAAGACTGGAAACACCCCAAACTGCTTGTATAAAGGGCAATGCAGGCACACAAGTATTCAACCTAGTAAAGAAAACAAGCCAATGAGGAATAGTCTATACAATGTCATGAATCAAGAATACCAGCAAAGAAAGCAAAGCAGAAAAGGTATTATTCGCAACTGCCTAAATGGAAAACTTTAAAAATTCCACCTTTGCTTATTTTTTAGGAAAATAATAAACCAAGATTGTAATTTAAAAGACAGTGTTTGCAGCCCAGGCAGTGGTGGCACACATCTTTAATCCCAGCACTCAGGAGACAGAAGCAAGAGGAGCTCTGTGAGTTCGAGGCCAGCCTGCTCTACAAAGTGAGTTCCAAGACAACCAGACCTATTACACTGAGAAACTGTGTCTTGAAAACCAAAACAAGACAATGATTGCCCAGAAAGACAAAAGTGGAGCATAGGAGGGGCAGAAACCAGACCTCTCTGAGCACATTCTGCTCTACAGATTTGACGTTAGAAGCTTACATTTTACAGAGTTAAACAATACAATTGTGTAACTAGTACAAAGTTAACATTTAAAAGCAATCTGTAAATATTAAACATGTTTGTCATATAGTGGCATAGATAGAGACAACTATTTTAAGTAAATTGAAAACATGATTTAACCCTGCATCCTGAGGTGTATACTCTAAGGACAAAAAGGAATTTAAGGACAAAGTCTTGAACCCATTCAGTAATCATCTTGCAATGGCATAGCTGGGGTTGGGATTAGGAGGCTCTTACATGTGTATTAAGGGATAAAACAAGTCATTAATTATGCTCATGTCACTTGGAACTGGTATTTTTGACATGAGAAAGATGAAATACAGGCATGAGATTAATGATATTAAGTAAAAATTTTACAGTTTTAAATTATAGATCTAAGTATCTGTATGAATAACTCATGGTATGTTTTATCTTTTAAAAGTTTTCTACTCCTTTTTCCAGTTCGGCTGACAAAAGTCAACTATGCTACCTGGTAACATTGCTTAAATGAGCTAATTCATAAATTACTCTGTGTATGAATTATAAATACATAGTAGAATGCCATAACACTGGAAAGTCCTGACTGCTGATTCTCCATGATACCTAATGCCAACCTGCCAGCAAGCCAGGTGAACTGTCCTGTGTCTTTCTCAGTGAAGGTGATTTCATGTGTGGCTTAAGACAGTCCTGTGAGTCAGAAGACAACTTGTTGAACCTACTAAGACAACACAATTCATCATATCCATGCGTACATGTCAGCTTTCAATAGGAAACAGTTTAGAGATGACCTACACGTAAGGACAACCCAACACTGAGCTGGGGTTCCTAATTATAAACTTCCCATTAGAAAGAAATGCCACCTCCTAAAGACATGATCACTTCTAGGTCTGGGGCATGAAATGATGTGCCTGAGACTTTGCCATGGCGGAGAGCAAGGAAATTGTCCCAAAGACTCCTGAAATGTCAAAGGGCTTTGGGAGCTCATCTGAAGAAGTTTCTTCCCATGTCAATGATGGAACAATGGGAACATGGGTGGTAACTGCACAGGATACACTGAATGCACACTTCAGTTCAGAAGTCCACAGCATATTAAAAATACAAATGAATTTCAGTGGTTCTATTTGGAAGATCCTAGGAAACCAACTCATTACATTGGAAACCACTGAACAAAGGAAATAAAAGCTAGTCATGGTGTGAGGCAGCGGCAGGCAGGTCTCTGTGAGTTTGAGGCCAGCCTGGTCTACATAACGAGTTAGTTCCAGGACAGTCAGAGCACATGGGGGGCGGGTGGGGAGGGGAGCTGATCCTTCTTCCTATCTCACTTCAAGTCTTTCTTTATCTTCCTTATTTAAAATGCCCAACGGTAATGCTTTGACCCAAGTTCTCAAGGAATACAAGGACAGCTCGGAACTAGGGGCATTCAAATGCTTCATGGCCACGGTTCCCCTTAGGCATGAGGGTTTTCAGGACTGGGTCTGAGTACCAGCTCTAAAGAGGCAGCTACTTCACCAGCAGGCAGGAGGAAAAGTTGAGAGGACAACTACAGAGTATGGGGAGTTGACCTCACATTCTGTTCAACATCAGGCAGAATTTCTTATCTCAGCATCAGTTTCCTCATCTACAAGTTAGGACCCCTAGTATAATTCCTGGTATGTATACACACCAGCAATAATGCTTATTATAAAATGTTTGTTCTAGCAAAAAATACAGTCATTCAGACAACATGGCAGCCTACAGAACGGGAAAAGATTTTTATGAACTACACATCCAACTGAGGGCTAACATCCAAAATATAAAAAGAACTCAAGAAACTATGTATCAAGAAAACAAATGACCCAGTTAAAAAATGAGATACAGCCGGGCGGTGGTGGCGCACGCCTTTAATCCCAGCACTCGGGAGGCAGAGCCAGGTGGATCTCTGTGAGTTCAAGGCCAGCCTGGGCTACCAAGTGAGTTCCAGGAAAAGGCGCAAAGCTACACAGAGAAACCCTGTCTCGAAAAACAAAAAAAAAAAAAACAAAAACAAAAAAAAAATGAGATACAGATCTAAACAGAAAATTCTCAACAGAGAAAACTCAAATGACTGAGAAACACTTAAATGCTTAACATCCTAAGCCATCAGGGAAATGCAAATCAAAACTACTCTGGGGTTTCATCTTAGGCTGAAAAGATGGCTCAGCTGTTAAAAGCTAGGCTAATAACCAAAAATATGAGATTTCACCTTACACCCATCAGAAGAGCTAAGATCAATAACACATGTGACAGTTCATGTTGGTGAGGATGTGGAACAAGCGGAACACTCCTCCATTGCTGATGGAAGTGCAAACTTGTACAGTCACTATGGAAATCAATATGGTAGTTCCTCAGGAAGGTGGGAATTGTTCTACTGCAAGATCCAGCTTTGTCACTCTTGGGCATATGCCTAAAAGACACTTCATCCAACCACAGAGACATTAGCTCAACCATGTCCATTGCTGTCCTAATCAAAATGGCCAGAAACTGGAAACAACCTAAATGTCCCTCAACAGAAGAATGGATAAAGAAAATGTGGTTCATTTACACAATGGAGTATTACTCCGCTGTTAAAACAAAATGAAATCATGAAATTCAGAAGTAAATAGATGGAACTAGAAACAAGGATTCTGAGTAAGGTATCCCAGAGCCAAAAGGACAAATATGGTATGTATACACTTATATGTGGATATTAGTTGTTAAGTCGATAACCAAGATACAATTTATAGAACCACAGAGGTTAGATATAGAGTAAGGGACTAGAGGGGACAGAAAGATCTTGTTAGGAAAAAGAAATAGAGCCAGGCAGTGTTGGTACACGCCTTTAATCCCAGCACTCAGGAGGCAGAGGCAGGCGAATCTCTGTGAGTTCCAGGCCAGCCTGGGCTACAAAGCGAGTTCCAGGACAGGCACCAAAACTACATGGAGAAACCCTGTCTCAAAAACACACACACACACACAAAAGGAAAAAGAAATAAGAGTAGATAGTTATGGATGGATGGGGATGGAATGGGAAGATCAATTGGGGGGAAGGAAGAGGGAGATGAGGGAGGGAATAAAGGGAGAGACAGATAAAATTAAGGGCCAATTGAAAGATAGTATGGAAAACTAATACAGTATAAGCTTCCTAAAATATATACATATATGAAGGCAACCTAAATGACACCACTGTCCATCTCTTATCACTAAATGAAGCTTCCAGTACTGGCATTGCATTACATCTAATTGAGTTGTTGGACAAAGGGATCCCACAGGAATCCGCAAAAAACCTAGACTTTTGCTAAAACTAGAGGTTGCTCTCCAAAAACTAACAAGGTTCCATTGCTGAAGACAACACCTACACAACTCATTGAGCATAGAGAAGTCGAGCTGGTACCTACATTGAGCCTTCACCCCTACATTCTAGCATCTTTGGCACAGAAAGGTACTCTGCACACTACCAAAAGAGAAATGTAAACACTAAGCCAGCCACAACCCTTTGATCTACAATGCTGTCTTGCCCACAAGATATACTAGGGCAATAGTGGCACAAAGCTTGTGGAAGTAACCAACCAATATCTGATTTGACTTAAGGCCCATCCCTCAAGATGGAATCCATACCCAACACTGCTTGGGTGACCAAGAACCAGAGACTGCAGAGCCCAGGGAGGGACCTAGGGTAAAATAAAACTCTACCATTCTTTGAAGAAAAAAAATAGCAATAAAATGACTCCTAATGCTTATGCTACACTCATTGATCAGATCAGTGCTTTGCTCAGCTATCATCCCAGAAGCTTCCTCCTACAGCGATAGGAACGAATACAGAGACCACGGTCAGACATTATGCAGAGAGTGAGAGACCTTGGAACACTCGGCCCTAAATGGTATGTCTCCAACAAATCCCTCCCCTCTGGACTTAGGGGACCCTGTGAAAAAGGAAGTGGAAAGAGTACAAAAGCCAGAGGACACCAAAAAAAAAAAAAAAAAAAAAAAAAAACCATGTCCTCTAAATCAGCATGATCAAAGCACATAAGAACTCACAGAGACTGGGGCAGCATGCACAGGGTCTGCACAGGTCTGTGCCAGGTCTTCTGCATGTATATATGGCTTCCAGTTTAGTGGGTTTTGTTATGGAACTTCTGAGTGTACACACAAATGGATCTCTGATTCTTGTGCCTCCTCTTGGGCTCTTTTCCTTCTGCTTGCCTTGTCTAACTCCAATGTGTTAGTTTTTGTTTTACCTCATTTTATTATTATCCCTTAAAAGCCTGTTTGTTTTCTAATGAAAGACAGAAAAGGTATACATCCAGATGGGAGAGGAGGTGGGGAGGAACTGGGAGGTGTAGAGGGAGGGGAAACTGTAATCATGATATGTGAAAAAAAAATGAGTTTTTAATAAAAGAAAAAAATAATAAAATGTTTGCCCAGCTTATTGTTAGCCATAATTTGTAACTTAATGACGCTTTCTAGGTAGTTTTCTATATTTCTAAAATTCAAATCATGAGAATATACAGCAAAATTCCTTCCCAAGAAGAAAATATTTTAACAAGCAGATAGTTGATGTCACTTTTCATTTTTAACCAGAAGAGTTTATAATGATATGGTCCATTTCATGGCAATCTGTGTGTGTGTGTGTGTGTGTGTGTGTGTGTGTGTGTGTGTGTGTGTGTGTGCGTGTGTACAAAAATGCATTTGAAGACCAAAGGTCTAACTTGTTCCTCACCTTGGTTTGGTTTTCGTTTTCTGTGCTACAGTCTCTCAGTAAGACCTGGGACTGCATGGTTAGGCTAGGCTGGCTGGCCACTGATGCCAGGGGTCCTCCTGTCTCTGCCTTCTCTGCGATTACAAGCAAGGGCCACCGCACCCCGGTTTTCACACAGCTACTAAGGATCTAACTCCAGTACTCATGCCTGTGTAGCAAGTACTTGACCAACTCAGTTATCCCCCAGGCCCCTGTAACTCCATTTTTAATGAGTGCATTTGTCACCATAGAAAAGCAAGGGTTATTTTCTGGTTTCTTCCCATTAAATGGTCCCCTACCTCCTACAAGACAAACTGCAGCATTTCCCTTAGTGGATTCTGAAACACAGGAGGGAGGTCTTAAGTCACCATAAAGTAAGAAGAGAAAAATTCACCGAAGTATACATTTTAAAAGAATAACTGCTTCAATATGAATTCTTCATCAACTTCAAAGATTTATTTTACTTTTACACCAGCAATACCCACCATCTTGTTAACTCTTTCATCCAAACTGACAGGAAAATCAGCAATATTTTTGTTTTATTTTTCTAAACTATCACCATGGGACAGAACTTACTTTATGTCCTCCTCAGTTGTAGAACTGAATGTTGGTTATATAACTCAGATAACTAGATAGTATGTTCTTGGAAGGTACCAGCACATAAGCATTACATGACCATAAATTCTCTGATGCATTCAAATCAATATCCTTCCTCATTAGCCCTTACTTACCCACTAACACAGTGATGACCTTATTGCTAGCATACTGTTCTATCTCTCGCAACCACTCAGGAAGGCAACGGAAGGACTCCTCACAGGTGATGTCATAGGTAAGGATCAAGGCATTGGCGCTTCGGTAATAACTTTGGGTGATTGAGCGAAATCTCTCTTGACCCGCAGTGTCCCAGATCTGTAACTGTTGAAGCATAAGACAGGGATCAGCTTGGAAGAACAGAAAACAAAAGGGTATTGCCTTGCTATAGCTCAGAAACGGGAACATCACCCAAACAATTTCATGGTTGTTTTCTGCCCTGAAAACACTTCTTTCTTTTCACAGTGAAGTGTTTCTGGTTTGAGGAAGGGGCTTATTCTCTTCCCTGTTTTTGTTTGTTTGTTATTTAGGACTTTTTATCATTAAAAAAACTTATTGTACATTTATAATATTCCAAGCTCTATTCTATTCATTTTTTATGTAATAACTCAATCTTCACAATGATCCTATAAGGTAGGTACTTTTACAATACAACACTTCCCTCATCAGGAAACTAAAGTACAGAGAGATCTATAACTTGCTCAGTGTCTCACACACAATTTAGCACTCACTATGGACTCTGTGTTCTTGCCAATAAGCTGGATGGACAGACACACACACACACACACACACACACACACACACACACTACAATAGAGAGCAAGCTGTTGCTCTGTGGTCATTGGCATTTCAGTCAGCAACCAAGAGAAAGAAAGCACAACCTCCCCAGCTTTTGCAGTTTAAAATTCTAATGAACAGCTGGGCGGTGGTGGCGCACACCTTTGATCTCAGTGCTTGGGAGGCAGAGGCAGGCAGATCTCTGTGAGTTCGAGGCCAGCCTGGTCTACAAAGCGAGTTCCAGGACAGGCTCCAAAACTACACAGAGAACCCCTGTCTTGAAAACGAAATTCTCATGAATACATCAAGACATCCCCACTGTTAATGGAAATAGGAGTGGTGATATTACAGTCTTGCCCTCCACACACACTAAGCCCTCTGACCTTAGTCACTTTTGGACTCCACTTGTGTTAAAATAGGGTTTGATAAATCATCTACTATTTCTAAAGATAGCAAACTGATGGTTCAATAAGAAAGAAGGAAAAATACTCCCCAAATCTTTTCCCCCAACCTCTCTGCACAGATCACACCACAAATGGGAGACAGAGCAGAGTGTTTGGGGAGATAAGAACATCACTATCAGCTTCCCTCCTAACTATAAATCCACAGGTCACAGGTAAGTTAACCTCTTTACTATTTCCTCAGGTAAGGCCTTCTAGAACCTTCTGCCACCACAGTCTCCCTTGCAATACTTCTTATCATTTCCCCTCCCCCCCCCATAGCAACTGACATATCTTAATCACGTACTTGAAATAGTTTGTTTAATGCCTATCTGGCCTACTTGATCTAAAGATTCATAACAGGAGGAGGCAGGGCCTTGTTGTCCTCACCAAATACAGTATGCCTAGGACAAAAAGCAGATGCTGACATTTTGAACTGATGATCTCAGTTGTTCCTTACCCCTTCCCAGTGAGGTAGGCAAGCTTAATAAAAACTGTTTCTTCCACCCAGGTACCCACAAAGCTGGGAATCAGACTCCAGGTCTTCTATTCCCACCCTGTTGCTTTTGCCATTGCAAGCTCATTTAAATGTACATTTGCATCCAGCAGTCACTTGGTGTCACCCTGGCCCCATAGCAATTTTGCTGAGGACATTGAGTAGTAAGCGGTAGCTCCTGCCACAAGCCAGCACACACATTCTCCTTTGATTTGAAGTTGCAGCAGCTCTTTGATGATATAAACTAAAGTCTGTGTGTGCTAAATGCAAACGTACACATGACAGTTTGTGCTGGAACAAAAGCTATTTCTCTTCTCTGCCTCAAAGTAGGGCCATGGTCCTCTTCTGCCAAGATGTGCCTAAGAATAGCAGGCTATTGTTTTAAAGTCCCATTCAGCCTCTAAAACACTTTTAACTGGATTAAGACACTGTCAGTCGTTAGAAAGCACTGTGTGACTGGAACATCTTGGGAACCGCTTTAAGCATCAAAATATTTTCTAAAATAGTGATTGTATGACCTTGCTGAGATATATGCCACCTTCTCATAAAGGACTGCCTGTGTCGAGCCTGGCAGTTGATTATTAAGGATGCTTATCTTCCATCGTCTATCACTCAAATTAGTTTCATCACCTTTCTCTATAATCCACTGTCTCTTTTCATCCTTTACAGAGCACTAAGTATAAGATGACTAAAACAAATCCCTGATCTAAGAGATCATCGTAAGAACCCAACTCCACCACTGATCAGCAATGTCCTCTCAAAGAGGAGCCAAAGAACAGTGTCTCCCAATGTTAGTCTCCCATCTGTCAAAGTGTCACCCACATTGCCGTCATGGATTTCCTTGCCACTCTCACCCAGAGCGCAGGGCTGCTGCACTGCTCACCTGTTCTCTTACTGCACTGCTGTCGCCTGCCCCTCTCATCAGTTTGCTAGGCTGTCCTCTTAAGTAGATTAGCTCTTTGAGGGCCAAGGTTATCTCTTTGACTTCATATCTTTGTTTCCTTCCTAACACAGTATATAGTGGGCACAGATGAATAATGGTTAACGAGATGAACATAGGATTGTGAAATCACAAAGGAGGAATTGATTAGCTATTCTTAGAAGATTAGTGGGGTTTTGAAAGATCTGGGACAAAATGTTATCAGAGCCAGATATCAGCAAGTTCCAAAAGTCAGTGATGCTTCCCCTACCATGCTGCTCTGCCCAGTGCATCTACTATAACACAAGATGGACGGACAGATCATCAAAAGAATGAACATTCAAACCTACACTCATGAATCTCCGATCTGTGTAACCTAGGTGTGATTAGAGATAAAAACAACCTCTTATATCAAGTGGTGGTGGTGCATGCCTTTAGTACTAGCACTCGGGAGGCAGAGGCAGGTGGAACTCTGTGAGCTCAAGGCCAGGCTGTTCTACAGAGCTAGTTCCAGGACAGCCAGGGCTACACAGAGAATCCCTATCTCAGGAGGAAAAAAAAAAAAAAAACAACTGTTCTAATCAATCTAAGGTTAAAAAGTAGGCTGACCTTACATTTTTTTTTTTTTTTTTTTTTTTTTTGGTTTTTCGAGACAGGGTTTCTCTGTGTAGCTTTGCGCCTTTCCTGGAACTCGCTTTGGAGACCAGGCTGGCCTCGAACTCACAGAGATCCGCCTGGCTCTGCCTCCCGAGTGCTGGGATTAAAGGCGTGCGCCACCACCGCCCGGCTACATTTTTATTTATCACTCATTGATTTGTGATACATTGAAAAATCAGTGGGTAAGATTGGATAGCATCATTCTACATCTTTTTTCCTTATGTATAGTTTTTCTTTTTTCTTTTTATATCTTATTCTACATGTTGCTTTATAAATAAATCATAGGCAGCTTGAACTGGATTGGCCAACTCCCATTTCTTATGAAATAGTAGCAGTCTAAAGAGGTGTTAATGGCAGCAATTGAGCTGTAAATATAAAGATAAGTAAGTCGAAAGCCCTGCTCTTGGGAGCCTGTGGTCTTGTGGTGGAATCCAATGAAAAAAAAAAAAGATGGAATTTTAGCCATGTAATAAGCACTTAAAAATGAGGTCAGAGCTAGCAAAATGGCTCAGTGAGGAAGGGCCAAGTTTGATCCCCATACCCCACATGGTAGAAAGAGAGAACTCTTACAAGTTGTTCTTTGGCCTACACATGCATGCTGTGTGCTCATGTACATGCACACACACACACACACACACATACTCAGAGACACAAATAAATAAAAATAAATATTTAAAAATTGAAGCCATTGTTTTCAAAATAGAATAAATAGAATGGCTAAGCTTGGAATTCATGGATGGAAAAGAGCCTGTTCTGTAACCATGGGACTGTTCCTTATCTTCCCTTGCTCTTGGCCAAAGCTTGGTACAATGGTAGGCACTAACATTTCAGGTCAAACAGATGACCTCACAAGTACATATGCAAATGGGAACTCATGTCTAGGAGGGAACCACATGAAAAGGTGGTTATCCTTTCCTGATTCCTTAGGTTGGCAACCACCTCCTCTAGAATTAAAAAAATAAATAAATAAATAAATAAATAAATAAAAACTACAAAAGGCTCTTCCTGTCAGTATCTCTTCAGCCTGCTCCTACCTCCTTCCTGTCCCCACACCCTCGCTCCTTCTCTTCATTTCAAATAGTTTTTCTGACCTTCTGGTTGGCATTTATGTAGATTTTACACCCAGTATCCCAGCTTTCTGTTCACCATTATACTTGGTATAGACGTCTCTATGGTAAGGAACCATTTCAAGGAGTCAGGACATAAGGAGATAACGAAGGTTCCTGCCTCATATCAGCCCTTGTTGGTGATGGTATTTATGAACTGCTGAAAGAATGCCAGGGAGCGTCTCTTACCCTTCCCACGACACTCATAAGATGCGAAGTAACAATCGATTGGGAGAAGGATGCAAATAACACAAACTAAAGTGGGATGCTTAGATTGAGACTTAGCTACAACTCCAGTACCACTACGTCATGCTGAGTATGATGCTCAGATGACTGAGATCTTTCCAGGGGATTTGACTCTGAAGATCTGACCAAGAAGTTTCAGTAACTGAATGGTAGTGCTAAACATCAGTATCCTTACCTCCTACCATGTGATTTAGTTTCACTTCACATTTTTTAAATGGTTTTATTTTTAACTATGAGAGAGAGAGAGAGAGTAGACACATGTGAAGGTGAGTATGGATGCCTGTGAGTGTAGGTTAGAAGAAAATATCAGACAGTTGAGAGCAGCCTTCCATGGGTGCTGGAAACCAAACTCAGGTCATATACAAGAGCAGTATGCACTCCACCTCTAAGCCTTCTCTCAGCTCTTCACTTCCTATTTCTTTCCATCACCTCCTTTTCTTGCTGCAAGGTGATGAGCCTATTGTGCCTTCGTTCCCTCTTACCCCACAGGAGACCCCATGGAGTTCGGAGAGTACAGGTTAGCAAGTGAGGTTCAGATCCCGCTTGTTTCCCTACCGCTACAGCCATGACTAAGTAAATGAATTAAGTAACCGCTGAAACTTGTATCATAAGGACAATACCATCTACTTCCCAGAGATCATACCAAGAGTTAAAGTAACAATGGTAACATATGTAAAAGCATCTATCAGAGACACTGACTTATAATACATACTCAATGAACATACTACCTCCTGTTTCTGGACATATTATACTTCTTCTAAGTACCAGCCATCTAGAAGCCACCAACTGGAAGACAGAGTAGAGGTCAAAGGTCCTTTCTTGGACCTCTAGAGTTCGAAAACAAAGGTATAGTGGGAGAAAGGATAATTTTAATAAGTAATTCATGTGACTGAATTACCTACACTACCTACAATGAAATGTGAGGATCAGGAAGCATTGTCAAATAGAGCTTTTATTTAGAAGGGAAACATTATTGGTCCAACTTTGAAATCCAAAAAGAAATTCCTACTTTGTTTTCACTTCTGACATGACAGGAAAATGCGTTTTCCCTACTGTCTTTGGATAAACATATCATTCCTAAATTGCCTCTGTGTGTTTTTTTTTTTCTTTTCTTTTGAGACAGGTTCTCATGTAACCTAGGCTGGGCCCCAACTTGCTATGTTAAGGATGACCTTGAATTTGCAATCACTCCACCTGACTCCTAGGTGGGATTACAGCTATGCACTACCACACCTAGTTTTATGTGGTGCTGGTAGTTTAATCCACAGCTTCCTGCGCACTAGGCAAGTGTTCTGCCAGCTGAGCTCCACCCCACTGGATCATTTCCAGTGTGGGTGTGAATGAAGCAATTTAACAGATGTTATGAAAAAAGGAATGGGGGAGCTGGAGAGATGGCTCAGTGGTTAAGGGCATTGCCTGCTCTTCCAGAGGTCCTAAGTTCAATTCCCAGCAACCACATGGTGGCTCACAACAATCCATAATGAGATCTGGTGCCCTCTTCTGGCCTGCAGGCATACACGCAGGCAGAACACTATATACATGATTAAATAAATCTTCAAAAACAAAAACAAAAAAGGACTGTACTTCCTCCCCTAAACTCTTAGAGAACACATCAAAGGTTTACTATAAATTTAGCTTCTTACCTTTACTTTTTCACCATTTATCTCCACTGTCTTAATCATAAAATCAACTCCAATTGTGGCTCCTTGACCTGGGGGGAAAAGACCCTAAGGAAGAAATAATGGCAAGTAACATTTCAGCACATCTTCCAATTAAGTGTATTCTCCTCACTCCCCACCCCATCCTAATAAGACCGTTTAGAAATTCGTCTCCGCCATCCTTTGACCAAGGTGACTGGCAGAGAGAGTACTCTGCTTAGTGTCATGTCTGGAGGGGAAGAGAGAAGGGAAAGGAAGATGGAGAGAGAGATTCTGACAGGAGCAAACACAGAAAGAATGACCGGGCAGGAGGCTGGCTGTAAAGGAGAGAATCTTGAAGGCGCAGGCATGAGTGCTGCTTTCAAAACAGAAAACTCACACAAGGGTAAGACTGGGGTGGAATGAGTCACCAGAATGACATCAGGACTGTCAGGATGGGGAAAGAAAAGGTAAGATTGGTTAAAACAAAGAGGGGAGGAAAGTGTGCGGAGCTCTGCTACAGAATGAGAATGAGTGAAAGACACGAAGCTTCTGACTTCTCCTGGGCCTCAGGACGGTCACCAGCTGAGGTACAGTGTGCCACACACACAAGTACACACAGTCCAGAGACACACACACACAATGACACACAGTCCAGACACACACATACACAAGTACACACAGTCCAGAGGACACACACACAATGACACACAGTCCAGATGGACACATACACAATGACACACAGTCCAGATGGACACACACACAATGACACACAGTCCAGATGGACACACACAATGACACAGCCCAGATGGACACACGCACAATGACACACAGTCCAGATGGACACACACACAATGACACACAGCCCAGATGGACACACACAATGACACAGTCCAGATGGACACACACACAATTACACACAGCCCAGATGGACACACACACAATTACACACAGTCCAGATGGACACACACACACCATGACACACAGTCCAGATGGACACACACAATGACACAGCCCAGATGGACACACACACAATTACACACAGCCCAGATGGACACACACACAATGACACACAGTCCAGATGGACACACACACACCATGACACACAATCCAGATGGACACACACAATGACACAGCCCAGATGGACACACGCACAATGACACACAGTCCAGATGGACACACACACAATGACACACAGCCCAGATGGACACACACAATGACACAGTCCAGATGGACACACACAATGACATAGCCCAGATGGACACACACACAATTACACACAGCCCAGATGGACACACGCACAATGACACACAGTCCAGATGGACACACACACAATTACACACAGCCCAGATGGACACACACAATGACACAGTCCAGATGGACACACACACACAATGACACACAGCCCAGATGGACACACACATGCAATGACACAGTCCAGACAGCAGAGTGGAAGCAGCATCAGAAGAGGAGGCACCAGACAACCCCAGACAAACCACTCCCCCTCTCTAGACCTCAAAATCATTGAGTCTGAAGTTGCTGTAAGCATGAAATAGGAGAAAATTGCTTGACCTTAAGCTGGAAACATAACAGTTTTAAGAGAATAGGGACATTAGCAAGACCACATGTATACTTGAGTTTACTTTTTCATATTTCCTGTAAGCTTAGGGAGAGGGTTGGGGCAGCAAGGACTTCCACCAAGAAAAAAATGTCTTTACCTAGTCTCCTCCCTCTTCAGAGTGCAGAATGCCAGGAATAAAGCAAAATGGACTTTATTAGCTCTTGCAGCTAAGACTGGGACATCTTTAATTAAATCCATACCTTAACAAGAGAGTTCCTTAATTAAAGTTTGAACTCAGAACACTGAGCTTCAAAGCAAAAGCAAAAGCTTCATTGCATGTCTGCAAGTGACATAAACATAAACATTCATAACTTTATTTACAAATATTGAATCGATTTTCCTGTTTGGCTTGGCTCAGACAGAAGGCTGCCAAGCTTCAGGTTTATAGCTCCAGCTGTTTGCAGACTAACAAATGCCAGAAATAAAATAAAACAAATCTTTCCCAAGCCCCCCCCCTCACTGTTCCCCAAACCTTCCTATCTTAAAACCAGCTAAATCCAATTCAACTGCTTACTAAATAATAAAAACATACATAATCCTGACTATGAAATATGAACTTTAGGGAAAACTGAAGGGATAGAGAGATAAAAAGTAGACAGAAAAGAAAACATGGTTTTTGGCAGAATTACTGATCAAAAATAAAAACACTTCCATTTTTAATGGCAGGGTTTATCTTGTGATTTTCAGGAGAGTGGTCCCAGAGGTTAGAGAGCCATGGAGAGATCATTGGGCCAAAGAGCAGGAGACCAGGGTCCCAGCTTTGCCAGCGATATGCATCAACATCATGAGCATGTCGCTGGGTCCCTCGGGATCTGTATGAGAGGACTGGATTGAATCATCTCTACGTGACCTCTCAGTAAAAAAAACACCGTCAAGCAAACTCTAATAAAGCACTAAGGAACAAATCTTTCTATATGGAAAATGTGTGGGTGTGTCCTCCTTACAGAAGCAGGAAAAGTTGCTATGGTTAGGTGGATGTAAAACCAGCTGGAGTTTCCAGTATCTCTCTGTGATAGTTGACTGAACTCCAGATGCTGGTTGGCTTTTTACTTTTGATTTCATCAGACCAAGACTTAGAGAACACACAGGCTCCTGTCTGTGGTCATTCAGCAAGGCAAAAACCTTGACATTCCAGCAACTGTGAGCCCTCAAGTTGCTGGGGTTGCCCAGTGTACCACTCCAGTTTTCCACAGACTCACAGACTGCAGTGAAAAAGGGCTTGGAACTCATGGGCCCATGGCATGCAGTGGGGAGGCCTGGCCAGGGAAGGTGGGCATCGTGATCCAGACTAGCACTTGGATCGAAAACCTTGAGTCTTGCTCTTTCCACAACACCAGGTCATCTTAAGCCTTCGAAGAGCTCATCTCAATGCTCCCAAGGCGCCTGCCACCAAAACAGGCTCTCTGCATGATGATCCAGAAAAGGGCATCACTTGGACTTTTCAGTGGGAAACAAAATCAACTTTAGAGTGATTTTTCACTTTAATTTCCATATAAAAACAAGTATGTAACCTTGGCCAGTGATTCTCCAGGAGCCAACCCTGGAGTGGACTTGTACTTAGATTCTATGAGAAAGAATCAAATCAGAAAGCATATTGGGTTTGTTCAGGTTCATCACTGCCCTCAGCTCGTTCCTACCTAAGAGACCCAAACAGATTGGTTATAAACCAAAAGAGCTCACTTTGTTTTTTGGATGAGAATGGACACAGACCAGAAAGTTGAGGTTTAATCTGTATTGGGGCTTTTTAAAAATGAATTATTTGGACTTGGTTTAATGCCCAGATTAATTTGTTTCCACCTCTAGATGATTATAAACAGATATATTTTATAAGCCAAATCTATCTTTAATACTGTGCTCTGAAAACAAAACCACCTGCCCCTTTTTGTCTGAGGAAGCAAGACGAGGTGTGGGAGAAGTCCTCAGCATCCCTCAGGCAATTTAGAAAACCTTTGGCTATCAACTTGAAGGAGCTTTTAAAGGGTGCCTTAAGAACCTGCAGCCCAGGCGTTAGTACTGGGCCCAATCGCCCATCCAGCAGATGGTCACTGTTAAGACGGGGCGGACAAACCAACCCAACCCTGGATTCCAGATTCCCTTACCTGAGTGAATCTTCGAACTAGGCACGTCTTTCCCACTCCAGCGTTGCCAATTAAAACAATTTTGAACAGGAAATCATAATCTTCCATACTCATTTACACGGCTGCAAATGAACACAGGCGACAGTGAGAAGGGCCCGGCAGACGTCCCCGGGAGCTCAGGCTGCACCAGCCCCTACTCTCCAGAAACAACAGGTCTGACTCATTTGAAGAGCAGCTCAAGGCTCCTCTCTGGTGACGTTGCCAGCGAAAGAGGAACACAGGTGTTTGGTCACAGATGGACTTCATTCTCCCCAGCTACCTCGTGCTGCACCAAGTAAATGACACACATGCCCTTTCACCTGGCAACCTTTATTCCTCCAAGCTGTCAGGTCGGAGATCTTCAAGAGATAAACTGTGTTTTCTTTTTGTGTGGAAAGCCAGACTAGCCGGGAGTGCAGACAAGTAGGGAGAGAGGAGAGCCATCCAGAGATTAAGACAGTTGATAGGCTCGGTATGAAGAAAATGACGGCTGCCAGAAGACCAAATGAAAGGAGGAAATTATAAAAGGCCTTCACTCTCATGCAAGTCCTAAGTTCTCGGGGATCATACTAATGGGCGATTGTCTTGCCTTTCCCTGACTGTCCCATTTCTATCTCTCTCCTACCAACCACACTGGTGCTAAATGGCCTCCAATGGTACCTGTCTTCTAATTGCAACGAGCCGTGGGATGTCCTCTCCTCTACTGGGGATGTCTTCTTGAATTTTCCTTCAAGCCCAGGGCAAGCCTCTCATTTTCTCTGAATCTTTCTTTCACTGGCCTTCCTCAAATAGGTGATAAAAATAAAGTGATGACTTTTTACCATTCCTCCATGTCAGACCTTCACTCGCTATACATATTTATTTGTTCAAACGTCTGCCTCATCCTTGAGGGAAGGGGCAATGTCTTGCAGCTCTATTTCCTTGCCCTAGAACAGAGTTACACTTAGTGAATGTCTACTTTGTCGACAGAAAAAGTTCATTAAAGGGCATATTGCTTAGCTGTAGGCATTTGCTTCTCCAATAGTGCTAAGAAGAATATTGCCACTGTGTAACTTAGAGGATCATTAAGATTAAAAATAAACAAGCAAACAAAAAAGAAAACAAAAAGCTTCCCCTAGACCTCGGTACCCTCCAAGCCCGGTTCTTGTGAAGCCAATCATAATCTGAGTGTGTCCTGGGCCTTTCCGCTACCACCTGGAGACATCTGCCCCAAGACCAACACGAGAAAGTGTAAATAACAACTAGAAAGTGAGTAACAAGCTCACACTCAGGAGGCCAAGGCTAGAAGAACTTTGAATTTGAAGCCAAACTAGGCTATATAAGGAGACCGAATCTCAACAAACAAACAAAAATGGTTAAGGAGTAATTCTAGCTAACTGCTGAAGATCATTGTGTCTTAGGCAAAACAGGACAAATACTTCTCTCTGGAAGAAGAAAAAGACAGCGAATCCTGAAGAGGAGGGTTCTTAGGAGGCTGAGGGAAGCATCAGGCTTACTCCTCCCAGGAGACCTAAATGTCAGTGACAAAGGATGGCAGGTGGAGAACCCAACGTGCTGGACCTGTCAGTGAGGTGATTTGTTGTGGGTTTCAATAGTCCTTGGAAGATGACTGACAAACAGACATGCAGCGGCTGCTCACGGGGTTCTGCCTCATCTCACTGGAACTGCGAAGGAAGAACACTTCCCTGTGCGAGCATCTGAGCCCATAAACAATGGCTCCACTGCCTATATGCCTTGCACTACACTTGACCCTTTATGTATATTTCTTCATTTTCAATAGTCCATGGGGCTAATATTGATTAATATTGTATGTAATTTGAACAAACTGAGGTTGAGAGAAACCAAGGCTAGCTCCAAATTCTAACTGCCAGATTTCAAGTTCAAAAGGCATTAGTGATCAAAGACATTCTAACTGTAAAAACCAAAGAGACCAAGGTCCACCTTCTGGCTGTTGTATTTTCTCAGTCTGTGCTTTTGGACAAATGATTTGTCTTCCCCATTGACAAAATGGAGCTCAGAGCACCTATCTCACTGAATTATGTTGGCTGACAAAATCAGAAGTCTTGAGGACAGTACTTGGTGTTGGTAAAGCAAACTCCTTAAGATCATTCACAAGTTTCCTATCATCTACTTTCTGTCTCTATTTCTAGCGTCACATCTCACCACCTCCTTACAACCCTCACAAGGTGCAGTTTTCCCCCCAGAGTCCAAAATACCACAGCTCTGCTTTTCTCCTCAAACCTTTCTGCCTAGACCAAGATCTCATAGCCTCCCATCACCTCCCCCAACCCAGCTAACTTTCACTTCTGCTTCAGATCTCAGCTGAAGCATCACATCCTTTCATGTGTTTTCCTGACCTGAAGGGGGGGCGGGGGCTGGGCCCCTCTGATTTCTACTTTCCTAACGCCTTCTTCCCCTTAGACAATATCAGGCACCATAATTTTACTTCACTATGTCTACCTGTCTACACTCCTCCACCATCACTCAGCATCTCAATGCTGTTTACACACCAGAACTCACAACATGCGCATACTGTGTCTGGCTAACCGTGGTCCTGTAATCAACACCATCATCACCATCTTCTCCACCATTTCCACTATGTCACAATATTAATTACTTAATCTCACAATGGTCCTATGAGGCACTGTTGAAGTTTTAACTTGTCAGATAAAGATATGGAGGCACAAGAAAAGTTAAGTGAGAAAAATATCATGAAGTATCCCTAGATTTAGTTTTGTTTGTTTGGTTGGTTGGTTTTTGTTTTGTTTTGTTTTTTGAGACAGAGTTTCTCTGTGTAGCTTTGCGCCTTTCCTAGATCTCGCTCTGTAGACCAGGTTGGCCTCAAACTCAAAGATCCGCCTGCCTCTGCCTCCCGAGTGCTGGGATTAAAGGCGTGCACCACCATCACCCGGCAATTTAGTTTTATATTCAGCTGAAACTTGATAATTATATTGTCAGTGATTTAAAATATTCCTTTGTTGGGGGAGGGGAGGGGAGGAGAGGAGGGAGGAGAAATCGCAGTTGGGATGTAAAATAAGTAAATAAACTAAAAAAAAAAAATCCTTTATCTCCATCTACTGTTCCTGGTGAGACAAGTTAATGAATGTTTAAGACAAATATAGTATTTCTTTGTGAACACTTTTTTCTCTAAAAACATTTAAGAATGTCATTTTTCTTTGATGGTCCATAGTGTAGCAGATTTAATGTATTCTTAGTTTTGAAATTTTCTAATAAAGTAGGTGTGCAAATCATAAAAAAGAAAGCACTGAGCTCATACAGTTCATAACTAGAGAAACTGATAGTCTAAGTCAACCTTGGCTCAGCTGCCCAGTAGTGACTTTCACCAGGTCTGGTGAATAGGAGAGCACAAGAAAGATGGGATGAGCTGAACAATGCAGGATGGGCACTTTACACACGACTCTTCCCTTTCTATCCCCCTCTAGTTTCAAATTCAAACCCTTTCTTATTGTATCATGCTACCTAAAGCAGAATCAACGCTAAGCTCCTGATAAATCCTAAGGAGATGGTATACCAGTTAAAAAAAAAACAAAAAACAAAAAACCTGCTGTTCCAACTTAAAGGAAGGCACCACACTGGTGAGCCTAGAACTTGGGAGGTGAAGGCAGGAAGACTCAAGTTCAAGGCCAACCTGGTCCACATTGGGAATTCCAGACTAGCTAGCCAGAGCTACATACAGAGACTCTGTCTCAAAAATAAAATTAAAAAGTGAAAAGAAACCTCAGTTCTGAGCACAAAATAGCAGGGAGACCTGAAGCTGTGCAGATCAGGACTCGTCCCTTTCATAAGTCAGAAACTGGAATCATGGGTCTGGGCTGCATCCTTTTCCTGTGCACACGTGATTTGATACATTTTTATTTCTAATTTTTGCCAAATGTCTAAGAAACAAAGCAAGAAGTTCAGAAAAATAAGGGGAGCCAAATACTGAGACCTCAGAAACTAGGCTCTTAAAGGAAGGTTATCAGTGCCCAAATTATACCTTAGATATGAAAGAAAGAGAGAGGCCCAATTACAATCAGTCTGGGATTGCATGATTACCACCTAGACCAAACTACAAAAGTTAAGATACTCTTTCTATAAGAAATTAACTTTAATGCTTTGTTGAATGTTTTTGTGTACATATATTTTAATCCAGAGTCTCACACATGCTGATTATATGATCTACCACTGAACTACACTCCAACCATGAACATTTTGTTAAATGAAACTCAGTAGCAAACAAGTTTGGTCTTTGTACAACTGCAGGCTTTGTGTAGTTAAGACAGGACCATGCACTCCAGGTTACATACTGAGGTGACTGTTCCACTTCTAAGAGAAAACACACTACATCTGTAGGGAAGTCCTTCTGTTTGGGCCATAATGTAAACAGCCCAGGTTTTGTCAATCGCTGTGATGAGACAGTATCCCAGGAGGAGGAACCTCAGAAAGATTAACCAAGCTCTAGAGTGACAATAACAATCACACCTTGTCTACAGAGCAAGTGTGTTGCAAGATGTGCTACTGACCAAGCATATTATAAGAATTGTCCATTCTGCTAACAACAGTAATAATAGCTGGCACTTGAGGCTTATTGTGTCCTGGACCTTCTCCTACATGTATTTACTCACAGGATCCTCAAAACAACGCTATGATGTAGGTACTGTTATCACCTAAGGGCCGCTGTGACTCAAAACAGAATACTGCCACCTCCCGTCTTGTGATTGACAATGTCACTGTCCGAAGTTCAAGACTTTGTGCCCTTTGAACACAGTGGTCTAGAAAGCCCTTGCCACTAAAGCATCAAATCCCTACTGATGGGTCTACACACTGATTCCAGGCCATCCACTGCTGTTCACTATGGCCCCTGCCCCCAGCACACTCTCTTTGGGAGCTAGACTTAGATCCCCCCAAACACCACTCCCATAACTCATTTGGCATTCACCCATATAACTAAGTACCAGGCAGAGGGGGCTGGGAAATAAATAGGAACACTGAGGTGAACTCATGAAATCCCAAATACTATAATTACCACAGTAATTCTAAACAAATGGATATGTCTCATCCAGGCAATGAAGTTGAGAGTTGT